TCCCTCAGCTCCCGTTCCCCATCAGCTCATATCCCCTCATACTGAGTTGAGACGCACTGAGTTTCAAACTGCCCGTTCTCTGGCCAGCAGCCCGCTGATTGGCTGAGGTGCATTCGCGTCATAATGGGATCCTCCAGCTGGGAGACACGCTGCCGCTGATTGGCTGAGGTGCCGCCGCGTCACAATGGAATTCTCCAGCTGGGAGACACGCTGCCGCTGATTGGCTGAGGTGCTGCCGCGTCACAATGGAATTCTCCAGCTGGGAGACACACTGCCGCTGATTGGCTGAGGCGCTATGAACCCGACGCTCCATTTGGAGAAATTATATTTTATGGCGGGAATTTGTTCTTAAACCGTAACAGCGCTCGTCTCTGTACAACAGCCCCGGTCTCCGGACAACAGCCCTGGTCTCCGGACAGCAGCCCTGGTCTCTGGACAACAGCCCGGTCTCTGGACAACAGCCCCGGTCTCCGGACAACAGCCCTGGTCTCTGTACAACAGCCCCGGTCTCCGGACAACAGCCCTGGTCTCCGGACAACAGCCCCGGTCTCCGGACAACAGCCCTGGTCTCTGGACAACAGCCCCGGTCTCTGTACAACAGCCCCGGTCTCTGGACAACAGCCCCGGTCTCCGGACAACAGCCCCGGTCTCTGGACAGCAGCCCTGGTCTCTGTATAAAAGGTCCGGTCTCTGTACATCTGGTCCGGTCTCTGTATAACGGGCCTGGTCTTTGTATGACAGCCCTGTTCTCTGTATAACACGTCTGTTCTCTGTATAACTCCTCTGTTCTCTGTGTGACAGCCCTGGTCTCTGGACAACAGCCCTGGTCTCTGGACAACAGCCCTGGTCTCTGGACAACAGCCCTGATCTCTGGACAACAGCCCTGGTCTCTGGACAACAGCCCTGGTCTCTGGACAACAGCCCTGGTCTCTGGACAACAGCCCTGGTCTCTGGACAACAGCCCTGGTCTCTGGACAACAGCCCTGGTCTCTGTATAACAGCTTTGGTCTCTGTGCAGCAGCCCTAGTCTCCCTCCACAAGCTGCAGGTCATTCAGAACTCTGCAGCTCGTGTACTGTCCCGCACCAGACTTCGGGACCACATCACCCCAACCTCGCTCGCATCCACTGGTTCCCAATCCCCCTGCGGATCGAATTCAATAATAATAATAATAATATTCCTTGCATTTGATATAGCGCTTTTCACGTCGGGAGGAAGTTCCAAAGCGCTTCACAGAACATACTGTAAAGCGAATTGACTGTATATTTGTGGGCGAACCCGGCAGCCAATTGCGCACAGCAATGTTTCCAAAACAGTCGTAGATTCTAAATGACCAATTTATTATTGTTTTTGGTTTTGGAGGGATTATTATTAGGCGTGTGGAGTAAGGAAACTTGCCCAAGGTTTCGCCCTGCTTGTAATTGAAATCAGGTCTCTCGCTTGCAAAGCGAATGCTCTAACCACTGAGCTACAGGACTCTACAGGAATTCAAGATCCTCATCCTCACCAACAAGGCCATTCACGGCCTCGCTCCCTCCTACCTCTCTGACCTACTATCCCCCTACTTACCTGCCTGTACCCTCCGTTCCTCTGGCTCTGGTCTGCTCCACATCCCCTGCCCCAACCGCCCTACCATCGGTGGCCGGGCCTTCAGCCTCTCAGCCTCTAGGCTCTGGAACTCTATCCCCCAAGTGCCTTTGCCTTGCTTCCTCCCTTTCCTCCTACAAGGCCGGTCTCAAGACCTTTCTCTTTGTCCGTGCCTTCAGCTCCTCTCTCGACTCTTTACCCCCTCCTCGCTCCCTCCCTTCCCTTCCTTGGTCCTGACCATTTCCCCCCTGCTCGGGTCCTGACCCAACTGTCCAGTGCGTTGGGACGTCCTCCCGACGTGAAAGGTGCTCCATAAATGGAGTCTTGTTGTTGTTGTAAAGTAGCCCTGGTCTCTGTACAACAGCCCTGGTCTCTGTACAACAGCCCTGGTCTCTGTACAACAGCCCTGGTCTCTGTACAACAGCCCTGGTCTCTGTACCACAGCCCTGGTCTCTGTATCACAGCCCTGGTCTCTGTATCACAGCCCTGGTCTCTGTATCACAGCCCTGGTCTCTGTACCACAGCCCTGGTCTCTGTACAACAGTCCTGGTCTCTGTACAGCAGTCCTGGTCTCTGTACAACAGTCCTGGTCTCTGTACAACAGGCCTGGTCTCCAAATAACAGCCCTGGTCTCTGTACAACAGCCCTGGTCTCTGTACAGCAGTCCTGGTCTCTGTACAACAGTCCTGGTCTCTGTACAACAGGCCTGATCTCTGTACAATAGGCCTGGTCTCCAAATAACAGCCCTGGTCTCTGTATAACAGGTCCGGTCTCTGTACATCGGGTCCGATCTCTGTATAACGGGCCTGATCTCTGTATAACAGCCCTAGTCTCTGTGTAACAAACCTGGTCTCTGTATAATATCTTGCTATATCGGTGTCAGTCAGTCAGTCTGGCTCGACCGGATGCTCTCACCTCAGAGTCACTGGTTCCAGATCCGCATCGGGGGCACTTCCAGCTCACAGTCCAGTCTGATCCTCCAGTGCAGGGGATTCCTCTCTCCCTCTTACCGTTCCTGGTGGTTGGGCTCCTCTCTATCGCTAACTGTCCCTGTGGAGGGGTTGGAGGGCTCCTCTTTCCTTCTAACTGTCCCTATGGTAGGAGGAGCTCTTCCCTCTCTCTAATTGTCCCTATGGGGGGAGGGGCTCCCTGCTCTCTCTCCAGCTGTCCCTGTGTGAGTGGTGGTGGGGTGGCTGGGTTCTCCTCCGTCTTTCTCTAACTGTCCCTGTGTGTGTGTGTGTGGGGCTCCTTTCTCTCTCTAATTGTCCATGTGGTGGGTTGGTCCTTCCTTGGCTCCCCACTCTTCTTTCTGATCTATATGATCTCATGGGGATCTCATCCGCAGACATGGGGTACATGTATGCAGATAACAACCACCTCTCTTTGCGCCCCCCCAGTCCCCTGATGTTCTGCCTGTCAGATCTCAGGTGTTGGATAAGCGCAAACTTCCATCAGCTGAATGTTGACAAGACGGAACCCATAATCTTCGGCTCTCGTCAACGTCTAAAATCTCATGGTTCTCACCTCCTCCACCTGCCTGACCTCCCTCTCAAACTCTCTGAACCCGTACGCAACCTATACGTCAGGTTCAACCCCCAATTATCCTTTCTCCCCCACATCCGGTCCTTCACCAGCACCGCCTTTTTCCAACTCCGTCGCATCGCCCGGCTCCGCAAATACCTCTCCCCAAAAGCCGATGAAAATCTGGTCGCTATATAAATCCAGTTGTTGTTACAGATCTGTGTCCTTATGTGTATAATGTGCATATGTGTGTGTCTATCTGTGTATGTGGGTGTCTTCATGTGCGAGTGTGTATGTCTGTGTGAGTTTCAACGTTTGTATGTGTATATGTGTCTGTTTTGTGGATTGAATGACTAATTTGTTTAAGAAAGGAATTATTAACGACAGAAAGTGATCTAACACCTGGGTTCCAACTTACTGCTGAACAGAGGGGTGTGTGTGGAATAAGGAAACTTGTCCAACTTTTTGCCCGGCTCAGGCATCGAACCATGGTCCTCTCGCTTTCAGCTACAGGACTACAAAACAGGAGCTGAATCTGTTCCTCCCAGTCCTGCTGAGCCAGGCTGGGCCGCGCTGTGGCCAACAGTGACTGCAGCCCAACCTGACTCAGGGACTGGAGCGACACAGAGAGAGAGCGACAGAGAGAGAGAGCGACAGAGAGAGAGAGAATAAGAGTACCAGAGATAAAGAAACAAAGAAAGGCAGAGAGACACAGAGAAGCAGAGTGAGGCAGCGACAGAGACCTTGAGAGACAGAGATACTGAACAACACATAGAGAGAGACAGAAATAAAGGGATACAGAGACAGAGACAGAACTCTATGTAGTCTGATATTAATAGTAACACCTCTATATAGTCTGATATTAACAGTGACAACTCCATATAGACTGTCCCGCCCTGTGACACCGCAGTCTGGAGTCTCCTGTATCTGCTCCTCATTCTCGTGTCTCACATCTCATCACAGCCAATCCTGATATCACAGCCTCACACGTCACACGGAGAGATTGTACATCCGTCAATTTTATTGTGATACCAACACAACACAAAACAAAACGACATTTCACGATATGAGTTTGTCCCGGGGCTTAAAGGGTTAAATCACAACAGGTTACATAAACTTGGTCACGATTCCCGTCAGTTTAGAAGGACGAGGGGTGATCTAATTCAGGATTTTAAAATAATAAAGACATTCGATAGTGTAGACACAGAGAAATTAGACGCCAGAACAAGGGGGGCATCATCTTAACATTAGAGCCGGGATATTTAGGGGTGAAATTAGGGGCAGTTTTACACCCAAAGGCCAATGGGAACCTGGAACTCTCTCCCCCAAAAGGCTGTGGATTATGGTTGGATCCATTCACACTGTCCAGACGGAGGTGGGGAGATGTTTGTCAGGTCGGGGTGTTAAGGGATACGGGGCAAAGGCTGGTAACTGGGGTTGAGGTACAGATCAGCCGTGATCTTATACAATGGCCGAACAGGCTCGAGGGGCTGAATGGCCTCCTCCTGTTTCTACGATCCTCGACTCTCTGCCCGGTAACCCCCGTACCCATTCTCTGATTGATCACCCTCACCCCTGTCAGGGGGTCAGTGTCAGATCGGTGTCACAGTCAATAATAATAATAATAATCCTTGCATTTGATATAGCGCTTTTCACGTCGGGAGGACGTCCCATAGCGCTTCACAGAACATACTGTAAAGTGAATTGACTGTATATTTGTGGGCGAACGCGGCAGCCAGTTGCGCACAGCAATGTCCCACAAACAGTCGTATATTGAAAATGACCAATTTACTATTGTTTTTTGTTTTGGAGGGATTATAATTAGGCTCTGTGTGGAGTAAGCAAACTTGCCCAAGGTTTCGCCCTGTCTGGAAATGAACTCAGGTCTCTCGCTTGCAAAGCGAGTGCTCTCACCACTGAGCTACAGGACTCCACAAATAATGCTGAAATAAGGGAAGTTTCCCAGTGAACGTGTGGATGAAAGTGAAGAGATGAGACATGTGTTCAGCGTCGTACACCGACACCTGTCCTCCCGCAGGGAGGGGCGTAGGAGGTGAGGTTAGAGCTACATATTCACCATTGTACAGCCCCACAGCCCAGACTCCAGCCTCAAGTCCATGTGTGAAATTCCCCTTCCTAAGCACAGACTCTCGGGCCACTCCCACTATCCAGTGTGTGCTGTTTCCCAACCCCACCTCCCAGTAATGTCTCCCTGATGTGAACCCCTCAGACCCCAGGACACTGGGCCAGAAACTGAACCTCTCCGGGGTGTCAGGAAGCTGCTGATCTCTGTCACTGTATCTCACTCGGGTCTGGTCTCAGACAGGATGAGCCGGGAATGGGATGTGTTAGGATCCAGAGTCAGAGAGGCTGGAGCTGAAACAGAGAATGTTGACATGTTGGAGATCGTGTGGTGAACATTTGACATTATATTTCATTGGTTCATTCAGTGAGGTTTGGATTCCTGCTCTGTGTGTCTCAGGTTACACGTGGGACACCAGTAATGTCTGGCTGTGACCCGGGGCCCGGCCACCGCAGGGCTGAGGTGGGCTGAGCTCCCAATGATCTTATTTAGCATTCCCGACCGCGGTGATGAGGAGTGAGAACAAGACATTTACTGCACATCTATTCCCAGAGTCAGACTCCGATTACAGGAACACAATAAGAGCCAGTGTTACCTGCAGTGATGCCCTTTAACAGGAGTTTCCACTCTCTGCTCTGCAGAGACCCAATGAGATCCCTCTCAGCCACATCAACAGACACTTTTGTGGGTTTCTTGATGTCAACACCAGACCTGGGCACAGATAGAGATTTGTTTAATTAAATTCAGACACAAGATCGATGATTCAGGTGAGATTTTCACCATCACCACCATTGTGGAGTCCTGCTCCTGAGTGGTTAGAGCGCTCGCCTCACAAGCCAGAGGACTCTGGTTCGATTCCCGGGAAGGACAAAACATGAGGTAAGTTTCCTTACTTCACACCTCACTACTTTCCTACTTATACGTAGTAAGGACCAAGTTGTTAGTCGATTGTCGGATCAATTTTCCAGACATAGTTTAATTTTTTTTTCAGGAAGCTGCTGTGTGCAATGGACTGCATTGTTTCTCCCAGAAAATATACAATCAATTTCCTTTATGGTATATTCTATTAAGATCTGATAAAGCACTCTATCAAATAGTATGATTATTATTATCATCACAATTCCCTGTAGAATTTGAAGATAGACTGGACATGCATAATGTTCTGTGCTCTCACACATATATGTTTCTCTATGACTCATAGCACTTTCTGTTACACAATGCGATTAGGGAATGTCACTGACCAGATGGACATAAGGAAACATTACAGACCTGACAATGATGGATTTGATATTCTGAAGAAGAAATAAAAATAAGGAGAGTTAGAGTCCATCGTGCATACAGCCATCAAGATGAATTTGAACAGGAATTAGGCAGCTTAATGCTGTGATTCATGTTAAATTAAAATAAACTGATAACTCATCACTCCTAGGGAACAGGTCTCAGTCACAAGGTGTCAGGAATGGCCAGTTAGGCATATGTATAAATCCATAAATAAATGAGGCCGGGATAGTGACAACGTGATGACGTCAGTGGTCGTGACAAGTTAAGTCAGTGTCGTGTTATCAGCAATCTACTGTTTTAATGAATTAAAACTAAATTTCTGATCTGAGTTACAGCAGATTGTAGTAACTCAATCATATCAGCTTTTCATAGATCCATAGAATGTTACAGCACAGAAGGAGGCCATTCGGCCCATCGAGTCTGTGCGGCTCTTTGACAGAGTCACTTTCACTAACACCAATCACCAGCTTTCTCCCCATAACCCGGCAAACCCGTCTTCCCCCAAAACAAACACAAACAATCCTTCCCCTTTGTCTACATCTCTTTCTGAATTCAGCTTTAACACCGTCACCTGCCTGTCTATCACACCAGACACACCAGCAATAACACACTCATTGTCTTTCTATCACACCAGACACACACCAGCATTAACACACTCACTGTCTGTCTATCACACCAGACACACAGCTTATGTACCTTCAGGAATCCGATGTTCTGGAGAGTCAATCTTGTCTGGATTTCCGCTATTCTCTGGTTAATAGAAGTAATTTGTTTGGTCTTATTGTTTTCTATTTGTCCTAAGATGGCTTCCTCCTGCTGTCTGAGTTTGGTGATCAGGTCTCGCTGCTCCTCGGTCAGCAGCTGGTGACGTTTAGCAAATTCAGCCTCGATGTTCTTCCTCAGACGCTCGGCTTGTCTCTGTCACAATAAACACAACTTTAACATTATCCGTCACAAGAACAGGGGCTCAGCCTGTCAGTCACGGTTACATTGCCCGTGAACCTGGTGATATCCTCCTGAGAGGGTGGGTAGAGAGGTCTCCTGAACTGAATTGGCTCCAAGGTGACCTGCCTGGCAATGGAATGCGGCATCGAGAGAGGCCTCTGTGACGGTCTCTTGTCCAGTTCCTGAGCCAGGCCGGTCCACAGTATCCCAGGGCACTGCTGATAACAGCACAGCCCAGACTGGCTCATCGGCAGGACCTGGATAGGCAGACGAGTCACTGTGGGCAGTGAGTAAACCCACTCATCTCCTGTTAACCCTGCGATATCAAGCCCTAACCTGTAGCGTGGTCCTGGCTGGAAACAGCGGGAAAGCTTGTCACACAGCAATATCAATGGGATGGGCTGTATCTGAGTTGATATACAAACCCCTCACCTTCACTTCCAGTTGAGCTGCTCCTTCTTCTCTCTGACACGGAGACATTTCATCCAACTGTTACTGAAGGGTTTCCATGGCTTTCTGCAGCTTTTCCTGAAACAAAGTGAATGTAAGTAAACAGGAAGAAGGGACAGAGTCATTTTTACTGGTTTAGGATATTCCACTTGTGTGACAGTGCTGTAATATTCTATTCCACTCGATCAACACAGTTAGATGGTGAGTCCGCTCAGAACTTCTGGATTTACCTTACATGCCGTCAGCAAGCCAGCCAACACCAGGGCTTGAACACACAACCGTCTGACCCAGAGGCCGGCGAGATTGCTGCTCAGTGACCGGCTGTACACAATACCAACTCTTTCCTAATATGTCACATCGAGTGTAACAGCGCATTGACAAAGGTTCATCTGCTGGACTAAACTTTAACTTGGTCATCAAACCAATCTTACATATTAAACACCTGGTTCAGTTGATCAGATTGTGGCGTCTGAGTCAGGAAGTTGTGGGACATTGGTGTGTGCAAATAGGCAGCTGTGCTCACAGTCAGGTCACTTTAGGGTTCCATAAACCTGGTCTGTATTCCCTTCAGTTTAAAAGGTTGAGGGGTGATCTGATTGAGGTGTTTGAATTAATAAAGGATTTCAATTGAGTAGCTACAGAGACAGTATTTCTTCTGGTGACAGAATCCAGAACAAGGGGAATAATATTATAGTAAGAACTAGGCCTTCGTCAGTGAAATCAGGAAGTATATTTTCCAACATAAAAGTTTGTGGAAATCTGGAACTCTCTCCCCCAAAAGTCGGTGGATTAAGGGACAGTTGGATAGATTTTTGTGAGGTCAGGGTATCAAGGGATATGGGGCAAAGATGCGGATTTACAGTTCAAGTACAGATCAGCCATGATCTAATGCATTGGTAAACAGGCTTCAAGGCCTGAATGGTCTCCTCCTGTGTCCTATGTTTACAGTGTATTCTGAAGCGCTCCCGACGCTACATGAAATTTCAGGGTTAATATCAATTCCATACCTTGTGGAGCTCAGCAGCTTCCTTAATGGGAATGACTGTGTGATCCATGTGATCACGGGACATCGCACAGACCACACAGATCGCTCTTTGATCCATTTCACAAAACAGTTTCAGCTTCTCCTCATGCTCTTCACACTGGATTCCCACCTCTTCCAGCCTCGGATTCAGGCTCAGTCTCCGAACACTCAACCATGTTAGAAAGAGTTCTGTTCGGCCGAACACTCCTCTGGGGAATCTGCTGCCTGCACTGTGGACAGGACACACTTCCCTGTCCTGTGCCCCAACACTGTAAAATACAGTCTCTGCAGAAGTTGTGGCCACAGTCTATAGTCACCGGATCCGTGTAAAACTCCAGACAGATTGAACAAGTGGCTTCATTTCTCAGGTTCTCCAGTTCCTGTACAGACGCCATTTCACCATCAGCTCTTTGCTCTGTTTGGGACTTTCACCTTTACCCCAAACCAGGAAGTGGCTGTGCGGGTGGGGATCACAGACCAACTGCTGTTTAAAGGGACAGACACCTGAAGACAAAAGGAACACAGATGTTTAGCACATTTGGCCATTCGTAAGGTCTGATCTCAGAATGTTTATTAATAATAATGATAATCTTTGCATTTAATATAGCACTTAATCACATCTTCGAGAAGTCTAAAAGCGCTGCTACTGTAAAGTTAATTTTAATGACTACAACAGTGTAATAATCATAATAGTAATAACCCTTGCTTATTATTTTGTGCCTGATCACATCTTTGAGACGTCTCAAAGCGCTACACAGAATATCATATTTGGTCGGCGAAACGTGGAAGACAATTGCACACAGCAGTTTCCCACAGGCAATCGTGGATTGATTGACCAAATTTTATTTATTTATTAAAAATACTGAAGGATTTTTGAAGGATTATTAATCCCAGAAAAGTGATCTGCAAACTGACTAACAATCAGGTTTCAACTTACTGCTCGGTGAAGAGAGTCATGGGGTAAGGAAACTTGCCCAAAGTTTCGCATTGCTGGGAATCGAACCCAACTCCTCTGACAAGTGCTGCAAACATTACCCTAAAGGACCCCACAATAATACAATTCAACTTCATTTTATCAATCAATAGCTAATGAATAAAAGTACACAAAGCATTTAATGAACATCTGAAGCAAATAAAGTCGTGACTACGAACAGAGAGATTCAGAAGCAATCAGTTTCCCTTCTCTGATTGTTCCACAGTCTAAGTCCCTGACTTTTGTTTCTTCAACTTCATTTCATTTTATAAATCAAACTGACAAACTCCATTTCTCTATAGGTTAGTTACTATTTTATCTGCTTACTATTGTTTAAAAACTATGTGTACTTCAATATAAGAACACGTCGTAATTAATCAATATTTATATATTGTTAAATACAACAGAAGCTGTAATCGAGTCGGAAACCATGACCTTTCCCCGGGATCGTGTCCTCAGTGTCAGATCGTCTCTCCCTCTTTCTCAAACAGGATCTGCTGCTCTCGGCCTCTCCTCCACTCGTCGGTGGTGTTTGGAGCTCAAACCCTCACCGGTCGCTCCACACTCCACGTCGCCGCTTCTGTTCCCTCAGACGCTCTCTCCTGCCTCGTGTGGGGAGAGCACATCCCAACCTGATTGGTGACTGTGGGTAAAGCCCCGGCCAATCACACGGCACATGTTCCCTGGTGCTCTCGCTGATTGGCTGACAGTATCGGGTGTGTTCACCTGCAATGGTCAAACCCCAACAGCTCTCAATGTGATTGGTGCAAACTCACAGCTTTGGCTCCAGTTCCTTCCTGTTCCCCAATCAGAAGCCACTGCACATTCCCGGTGAACAACCGGAGGCCTCGAGGGCAGCAGCGGCTCAGGATCTCTGCAGCGTTAGTGTTTTACTGTCACTCTTTCCTGACATTGGGCTGTGAGTTCAGTCCAACCCGAGGGGAGGAGAGGCCCGAGCTCTGTGACAGAGGGCAGAGTGGGAGCCGCTGAGCCGAGCAAACCCCCACAGCGAAGGAGACGGGAATAAAAGAGCAGCGCCTGAAACCAATGGGAAGCGTGGGGTTGGTGGGACTGACCAATGGGGAGCGAGTGAGTGGGGAGACAGTTAGGGTTGGAGAGTGAGCGAGCGGGTGGGGAGAGAGTGAGCGGGTGGGGAGAGAGTGAGTGATTTGGGAGAGTGAGCGGGTGGGGAGAGAGTGAGCGCGTGGGGAGAGAGTGAGGGTTGGAGAGCGAGCGAGCGGGTGGGGAGAGAGTGAGCGAGCGGGTGGGGAGAGAATGAGGGTTGGGGAGAGAGTGAGCTGGCGGGTGGGGAGAGAGTGAGCGAGCGGGTAGGGAGAGAGTGAGCGAGCGGGTGGGGAGAGAGTGAGCGGGTGGGGAGAGAGTGAGGGGTGGGGAGAGAGTGAGCGGACGGGGAGAGAGTGAGCGGACGAGGAGAGAGTGAGCGGTTGGGGAGAGAGTGAGCGGGTGGGGAGAGAGTGAGCGGGTGGGGAGAGAGTGAGCGGATGGGGAGAGAGTGAGCGGATGGGGAGAGAGTGAGCGGGTGGGGAGAGTGAGCGAGTTCGCGGGGGAGGAGGAGAGACGGTTAATTTTGTGACCAATTGACAACATCCTCGACCGATGAGAAACTCGGATGGAGGGGTCGGGTATTGTAACGGGACTGCGAGCGCGGACTGGAGAGGCAGAGAGCCCGACCGACTGACAGGCGCCGCGCACAGCGACTTGGCCGCAAAACAGTCACTACACCTCACGGCGTATCCCGCGAAGCCCTTTCGAGACGTCTCGATGACGCGATGAGCCGCGGTGTCAAAGGCCGGGATTATGATGGCTGTGGTTGTGATGATGGCCTGTGCTGGTCAGCGTGAGCGAAGGTAAAGCCACCGCGGTCTGACCCGGGGCTGAGCTCCGCTTCTGAGCACATGTCCCATTTTCCCGGGAAGACGGTCGTCTCTCTGGGATTCCAGTCATCGGGTCCTCGAGCGCAGACGCTGTTGTTGTTGAACAGCCGTCAGACGGAGAAGGCCACAGCCTCAGCCACCGCTCACCTCAGGGCTGAGAAACAAGCAGCGGGGGACGGGGGGACAGACGGGGAGGCGCTGCCCACCAGTGCTCCATCTCTCTCTCTCTCTCTCTCTCTGCAAAACAGCTGCTCCCGGTCACCAGCAGCTCGAGAAGGTGCGGCCACAACGCCATTTCCCACCAGAAACAAACTGCAGACAAAAGGCAGGAAAACTGGGATTCAGTGACGGGGGGAGACGGCGTTACACACTCACACACACACACTCTCTGTCTCTCACTGACCCGATCCGCCATCAGCGCCGAGTTGTCCCGCCTCTCGGGGCCGCTCCCTCCCCGACTGCTCAACTCCTCACCGCCGCCGCCATGTCCGCGCTTCTCCTCCTCCTCCAACCGTCACTCTCTCCCCGCCCACTCGCTCCCCATTGGTCCTTTCACAACATCCGGCTATTCGATCACCATTTCTGATTCGTCATCGCGTCTGTCAATCAGATACTGAGCTGTCATTGCCCCGTTTCCACGTCAATCACCCCTCGCGCTCTCTGTCCAACCGTCACTCTCTCCCCGCCCTCTCGCTCGCCATTGGCCGCCACGAACACCCGCCTCTCAGTTGGAGCTTCCGATTGCTCAGTCGAGTTGTCAATCAGACACTGGCTGTCAACGGTCCGTTTCCACGTCAGTCATCTCTCCTCTTCCCCGCCTCGCGCACTCTGTCCAACCGTCACTTGCCTCCCGCCCACTCGCTCGCCATTGGTCGAGTCCAACACCCGCCTCCTCAAACATCTCGTTCCATTGGTGCGCTGTGTTGTCAATGTGACTGATGGCGCCCTGATAGGCCTCGTGTCCACGTCAATCATCTCCTCCTCCCCCCCCGCCCCGCGCTCCCTGACCAACCGTCACTCTCTTGTCTCCTGTTCCTCCCTTTTCTGAAGTGTCTGAAGAGAACAACAACAACAACAACAACAACAAGATTCCATTTATAAAGCGCCTTTCACGTCAGGAGGACGTCACAAGGCGCTGCACAGTTGGGTCATGACCCGAGCATTGGGGAGATGGTCAGGGTGAGGGGAGGGAAGGGAGGGAGCGAGGAGGGGGAAGAGAGTGGAGAGGGGAGCTGAAGGCTCGGTCAAAGAGAAAGCTCTTGAGACCGGCCTTGAAGGAGGAAAGGGAGGAAGCGGCGAAGGCACTGGGGGATGGAGTTCCAGAGCCTCGGGGCTGAGAGGCTGAAGGCCCGACCACCGATGGTAGGGCGGTTGGGGCGGGGGATGTGGAGCAGACCGGAGCCAGAGGAACGGAGGGTACGGGCAGGTAGGTAGGGGGATAGTAGGTCAGAGAGGTAGGAGGGAGCGAGGCCGTAGATGGCCTTAAAGGTGAGGATGAGGATGTTGAAATCAATCCTCTGGGGGATGGGGAGCCAGTGGAGGCGAGTGAGGGTGGGAGTGGTGTGGTCGCGGTGTCTGGTGCGGGACAGTACACGAGCTGCAGAGTTCTGAATGACCTGCAGTGTGGAGGGAGGTGGCGGGAAGGCCGGCGAGGAGAGAGTTCCCATAGTCCAGCCTTGAGGTGACAAAGGCGTGGACCAGGGTTTCAGCAGCGTGAGGGGTGAGGTAGTGCCGTAGTCTGGCGATGTTCCGGAGGTGATGGAAGGCGGTACCAGTTGTGGTGCGGATGTGAGGGAGAAAGGACAGCTCAGGGTCGAACAAAACGCTGAGGTTCCTGACTGCTTTGAGAGGTGGAGAGTGCAGCCTTGGATGCTGATGGTGTCAGCGCCTGAGGTGCGGAGGCGCTGACGTGAGCCAATCAGGAGGGCCTCGGTTTTTCGCACGTTGAGCTGAAGAAAGTTGTCACTTGTCCAGGACTCGATGTCAGACAGGCAGCTGTCAGGACATCGGTGGTCGTGGAGTTGAGAGTAGAGGAGGAAAGGTAGAGTTGGGTGTCATCTGCATACATGTGGATGAAGAACTGATCTCCAGTGGTTACGGGGAAAGACCGGTCAATAAGGGCTGAAGAGCTGTGACTGTCCGGGACGCGGCGATCACCATCGCACACACAGACAAGACTCGTTTCCCTTCATAACAGCCCGCAGAGAGCGCGTGTCTGAGCCCCACAGACCCAACAACAACAACAACAAGAACAAAATGACACTGATATCGAGCGCCTTTCACGGCGGGAGGACATCCCGAGACGCTGGACAGGCGGTCGGTCAGGACGCCAGTGGTTCTGGTGTTGAGGGTGGGGGCAGAGAGGTGGAGTTGGGTGTCAACCGCGTACAGGTGGGAGTTTACCCCGTGTCTGCGGATGGCGTCACCAAGGGGGGCGCATGCGGAGTGTGAAGAGGAGGCGACCGAGGACAGAGCTCTAAGGAACGCCGCACGAGGCGTACGTGCGCGGGGGCGGGAGGGGACGCCGTTTGCCGCGACCAAGTGGAGGCGGTGTGGAAGGCGGGACCTGAACCGGTCAAGGACAAAATGTTGACACACGAGGCAGTGATAACGTCTGAGCCGCAGGTATTCACTTCAGGATTGAATCAGATTCAGCGTTGGATTGAAAACACGCGCCGCCATATTCCTCTCCTCTTGGCTGAATTCTCTCTGTGTCACAGCATAAATGCACGTGTTTGTGGCACTGCTTGAAAGCGGAAGCATTCTTGCGGACTGATACAGGCATAGAGATCGGGGGTCTGTCACCTGCGTAAGTATAGTCTGCGACTTTCCCATATATCACATATATAACACAGGTCATCCAAAGTAACATGAAACTGCCCGATATAGTGAACAGCAAAACAATAATTTTTTTCCTTTTCTCTGTCTCACGTCATTGCTATTCACATTTTTGTTTTGTCTTAGAAGCCGTCTGCGGATTATGTTGGCCACAATAATGTCTCTGATGGTTAGTACATTGAAGAGCAAAATCAGCAAATACAGAATGAATGGGATGACAATGATGTCGATCCAATTAAGCGCTGCCCAAGCAGATGAAGTGTTGAAGGTTACTTTTAGTTTACAGAACCGCGGAACATTGTCTATTGTGAAAAAAGATTCATACGCAAAGAACCAGGGGATGTCGCTCAGACCGCACAGTACACACACAATACCTATAACCAAGGCTGCCGTTCTCTGGGTGCAATATTGTCTTTTCAGTTTCTCACTGGAAATAATCAAACAGCGGTCAAATGTGAAAGCGACTGTTAACCAGACAGAGCTGTCGGAAGCTGTGGCAATTAGAAAGGTCCCGAAAGCACATACAGGAGTCAAATACAGAAAACCCAACAAGAAAATACAGACAATTAATCCGAGTTAATATCACATCACTGATAACCACCAGCAAATCCGCCATTGCCATAGCAATCAGGTAACGAGTGCCACAGGTAGAGAGACCAGGGTCACAATCGCCAGTAAGTTACCTGTAGAATGATAATTATTAGTCAGACTCCACATTATTTCTGGCACACACTTATGCTGAAATGTATTTAAACTAGATTGAGAATTCTGCATGTACATGACCCATGGAATACATACTCTCTTCCTACAGTAACACACCTCAGTATCAGACACAGTTTGCTGACCAAAAGCTTGGGTACCAATTACTGGAGCTTAACCAACTACAACTGCACACAGTTTGTCAATTGAGAGCATTGCCTGTATGATGTCTATGTTTGTCCAGCTGGTACTGTTGGTGTCTGAGCTTTGGCTTTGCCATAAATGGCCCGAGTGAGAAGTCTGCCTGACCCTTCCTAATATGCTGGTAATGATTGAGATCTGTATTACTGCAGACCCATGTGGATCAGGAATCGAACGAGAGAGTTTATACAGTGCCACACGGGTTTGACCCCATTTCGAAAATCTGTTGCCAATCACATCCTCTTGGACCCAGTTCAAGGAAAGCCCACTTTACCTTCTCCCCAAGCAGAATTAGCAAAGTGGTCATTTGACATTCAGCAAGTCCAGGACCGAGCGCTAAGTAGGTGGGTGGCAATCACGTGGAACACCCTGTGAGCTTCCTGATGGACAGCACCGCTCAACAGGAAATACATTAGAGCTTTGCCACCATTTTCCTGCCCACATCTCAAATGCACATATTGAATCATGGTGCCACCATTCGGCAGTGCGGAGCTTGAGCATCAGACGCTTACCTTGAATCCTAGAATTTAAAAGATTAGAGATAAGTTTAAATAACTAGCCTTTCCTCAAACCTCTTGTATATTCAAGCAATTGCAAATATATCACTGGCTTTACACCAATGTATTGGAATAGGTAAGGCAGAGACATTGGGGGTAAACTATGCAATGTTGCTTAACATCTTTTGTTGTGATAAACACATCAACGTGGCTCAGTTGTTGTCACTCTTGCCTCTCCGTTCTGAGGTGGTGAGTTAAAGCCCACGCAAGGCTTTCAAACCGTTGATCAGACTGAAATTCCAGTGCATTGGAAGGTGAGCACTGGATTGTCAGAAGTGTTGTCCTTCAAGTGAGGCAGTAAATGCTCCCAAGGTCCTGGAACGAGGACGAAGATCCCCTTGCTCCGACGGTCCTGGAACGAGTTGTCGCCTCCCAGCTGCGCTCTTTCCTCTCCAACCATTCACTATTCGAACCCCTCAGGTTCTGCCAATAGCGCAGAAACTGCCCTGGTCAAGGTCAGCAATAACATCCTGACCATCTGTGACCAGGGCTTCCTCTGCCTCCTCGTCCTCCTCGAACTATCGGCAGCATTCGATGCAGTCGACCATGGAATCCTCCTCCACCACTTGTCCTCCCACCTAAACCTTCAAGGCACTGTCCTTGAGTGGTTTAGGTCGTACCTCTCCCACCGTCTTCACTTTGTCTTCACAAATGTATTTTCCACTGCCTTGGAGTCCTCTGAACTCCTCTCCCTATAGCCTTCAACCCTCACCGACCCCTCTTCTGCTCTCACCCTCCTCCACAACACCCTCTCCTCCACACTTGACACTCTTGCCCCTATCACCTCCCGTAGTGTCTCCTACTCTCGCTCCTCACCCTGGTTCACCACCCACCTCCGCTCACTGAACAGCCAGGTGCTGGCCGCTGAACGCACCTGGGTCAAATCTGGCCTAACGGTCCACCGACAAATCTGGCTGGACCTCCTCAAATCCTACTGCTGCACTCTAGCCTCGGCCAAATCGTACTTCTACTCCAGGATAATCCTGGAGGCGAAGGACAACCCCAGGCTACTGTTCTCTACCACTTCCCAACGTATCCGTCCCCCCCGACACCCCGCGCAGGTCATCTCCTCCAACCTTCACTGCAATGAGATGCTGGATATCCTTGAATCCAAGATCAAGGGAACCCGCTCCATGGTCACTTCCCCTCCAACATCCACCCACCACCCTCCCCTTCCCTCCCACACTCCGAATCCTACCCATCCTCCCCTACACAACTTCGTACCCGTTTCTCCATCCTCTGTCACCAA